TAGAGGAAGCCCATGCCAAGAAACAGCCTGCTTGCCTCCAGGCTGCCCTGGGTGTCTTGGGTATCGATGGTTTTGCTGTGGAGAGCGTGACGTTCCCATACCAAAACTCAATGGACGTCCTGGGGTCTGAGGGTTGGGTTTCTTGTGGAAGGTTTCTTGTGGTCGAAGTAGGGTCGGACCGAGGTATAAGATCGAGGTCGGTTCGGGGAGGGTGCCCTATATTCTGCGTGCTGGTTGGATGTTCTCGTGCATCCTGGTGTGTTATTGCCCGGCGGAGGGTCTCATATTCTTGAAGGGTTTTCTTCTGTCCCAGGTCCAGCCGTAAGTAGGGGAAGGGGAGATGATCAGCCTCCAGGCCACAGCATGGGTCAAGGCGGCGTCCGCGCCACTCCCGTGCCCCACGCGTCGACTGCGGCGAAGGCTTGGAGGAGGATCGCGCCGCATCGCCGCAGCATCGGCGGTGTGGCGCGATGGGGAGCCCGATCTTTCCTACGCCGACGGCGCCGATGCATCGTCGACAGCGCCGGTGCATCGACGACGCATCGGCGATGCACTGGCGATGCTGCGCGGTCCTGCGACCCCATATGCTTGGACCCCACCTGGAGGGTGGCCCCGAACGGTTTTAGTGATCAAACCGCGCGGTGCGTCGTGGGGGTTCGGGGTCACCACGCTCTTCTTGGACCTAAGTCGTTCACCGAGGGTGCTGGGCGACTGGGGCCTCCATGGTACCAAAACCTTGCTGTGACGGACCGCGAGGTGAGGTCGTTTGGGATCCCGAGGTCGCCTTTCGGTCCGTCACCACACCGACTTGGGGTTTCCAGAATTGGCAGCCTTTTTTGTACTCGGCGTGGGTTCTGTGTGGATTCGACGCAAGTTCGGAGTGGATGCGGCACGGACTCGACAAGGATTCGAAGCTGATTCGGCGCGTTCGACATGGATTCGACATGGATGCGACACGGATGGCTGGCGCGATGGGACAGACGAGGCCCCCCAAAGATGCAAGAAAGGTGCCGCAGGGCCCGCCCGGCGCGGAGGAGCTTCGGGTCGTCGCCGCCGCCGACGTCGATCAGAGGGGGAAGTCTGTACCGCTGCCGCTGCTCGTCATTCTGGGCTCACGTTGCCGTGGCCGGATTCTCCGTGAAGTCCTGGTCAGAACGCACCTTGGGGGAGGTCTAGGGAGTATTGGTATGGGTACCTTTTTGTCCCTCAAGTCGAGGGGCGATGAGCGGAAGGCGCGACGATCGGTGTCTTCTGGGTTTTTTTAGGGGGGTTGGGGTGGGCCTCAAGAGGCCTTGGTGGATGCCTCCAGGGACCTGGAAGCCCCAGGGGCCTCTCGGGACCTCGGAGGCCTGCGGAGGCCACGCATCGCCGTCGCCGTCGCCGCTGTCGCTGTCGTGGTCGGCGTTCTCGTGGTCGTCGTCGTGGTCGTGGACGTGGTGGTGGTGGTGGTGGTGGTCGTCGTCGTCTTCGCTGCTCGCGTCGTCGTCCTCCCCCGTTCCTTCCTCTCGTTCCTGGTCCTTGTCGACCTCTTGCCCTGGCTCTCCTCGATCTCCTCCTCCTCCATCTTCTCCGTTTCCTTCATTTCCTTCATTTCGTCCATTTCCTCCTCCTCCTCCTCCTCCTCCTTCTCCTCCTCCTCCTCCTCCTCGTCCTCCTCTCCCCCGCCGCCTCTAAGACACCCGCGGACCTCTCTCTCCAGGGGTGCGGTTCGCTGGGTACTTCGACGGGAATTCAGCCAGCGAGTAACACCAAGAAACCTGGATACATCCAATCTCGATCCTCCTCTCCTCCTCCCTCCTCCCTCCCTCCCTCCTCCCTCGCCGCCCTCCTCCCTCCCTCCCTCCCCCGAGGGAGAGAGGAAGGAGGGCGGCGACTGCCCGAAGGCGGCGGAGGAGGGAAGGGAGGGAGAAGGGACGAGGCCGGAGGAGCAGGGAGGCGGGAAGGGCGGGAGGAGGGCAGGAGGGCAGGCGGCAGGGACGCGCAGGGAGGAGGGAGGGCGGAGGCCAGGGTGGGCGGAGGGAGGATGGAGGAGGGAGGAGGGAGGAGGGAGGGAGGAGGCCAGGATGGGAGGGAGGAGGCAGGAGGCTGCTCTCGAGGCCCAGCCCGCAGAGCGGGAGCACGCGCCGGCGCGCCCGCCCCGCGGCGCGGCCGCCGCGCCCGCCCCGCGGCAGCGGCCGCCGGAGCCCGGGCAGCCGCAGGGGCAGCCGGCCGAACAGGGCGCGGGGCGCGGGCCAGGCCTCCCGGGGCGCCCCGCCGAAGCTCGGCCACGCGCAGAGCGAGCGGCGGAGGAAGGAGGAGGAGGAGGAGGAGGGAGGAGGAGGAGGAGGAGGAGGAGGGAGGAGGGAGGAGGCGGAGGCGGAGGCGGAGGAGGACAACTAACGATAATGATCATAATCTTACTAAGAAGACGAACCATAATACTACGAAGACGAAGAATCAAAACCCACTATTTCTTATATTGTTACTACTACTACTACTACTACTACTACTACTACTATTATTACTACTACTACTACTACTACTACTACTAGTACTACTACTATTACTACTACTGCTATTATTATTATTGTTATTATTACTAGTGCTAGTACTAGTACTAATACTAGTACTAGTACTAGTACTAGGGGGGGTTTTTTGTTTTTTTATTAGTTACCCCAGTACCAGTACAGTTACCAGTATACTATACTATTACTACTTACTACTACTACTTACTACACTACTACTATTACTATACTACTATGACTACTTACTACCGACTACTACTACTACAACAACAACTACTATTTATTACTACTTTACTACTACTACTACTACTACTATCACTACTCTCACCCTTACTTCTTACTACTTACTAAATTACTTGCTACTACTACTACTGCTACTACTAATACTACTACTAGTACTAGTACTAGTACTAGTACTAGTACTAGTACTAGTACTAGTACTAGTACTAGTACTACTACTACTACTCATAATCATATTGATGCTGATCATGACGGTAGTAAGCATAAGAGTACAAGAGGCGGAGGCGGAGGAGCGGCGGCGGAGGAGGAGGAGGAGGAGGAGGCGGAGGCGGAGGCGGAGGCGGAGGAGGACAAACTAACGATAATGATCATAATCTTACCAAGAAGACGAACCATAATACTACGAAGACGGAGAAACAAAACCCACTATTTTTTAGATTGTTATTACTTCTACTACTACTACTACTACTACTACTATTACTACTACTATTACTACCACTGCTATTAATATTATTATTGTTATTACTACTACTAGTACTAGTACTAGTACTAGTCTAAGTCTAGTACTAGTACTAGTACTAGTACTAGTACCAGTACCAGTACCAGTACTACTACTACTACTACTACTATTACTACTACTACTACTACTACTACTACTACTGGACTACAGTACTACTACTATACTTACTATACTACTACGACTACTATACTCTACAACAACAGCAATACTATTACTACTTACTACTACTAATACTACTACTACTATAACTATTACTACTACTACTACTACTACTACTACTACTACTACTACTACTACTACTACTATCACTACTCTCACCCTTACTACTACTACTACTACTACTACTACTACTACTATTACTACTACTACTACTACTACTACTACTACTTCTAGTACTAGTACTAGAAGTAGTACTAGTACTAGTACTACTACTACTACTCATAATCATATTGATGCTGATCATGCCGGTAGTAAGCATAAGAGTACAAGTGCTAAGACGAGCAAGAAACATTACCCCAGTGCGACCCTACCTAGACGTTGGAGCCCCTAGGAAGGCAGCATTAGTTGCTATGCTATGCTGTGCTATGCGATGCCATGTTATGCTGCGCTATGCTATGCTATGCTATGCTATGCTATGCTATGCTATGCTATGCATATGCTATTGTGCGCTATGCTATGCTATGCTATGCTATGCCATGCCATGCCATGCCATGCTGCGCTGTGCTATGCTAAACTATGCTATGCTATGCTATGCTAAGCTGCGCTATGCTATGCTATGCTATGCTATGCTATGCTATGCTATGCTATGCTATGCTATGCTATGCTATGCTGCGCTATGTGATGCTATGCTATGCTATGTTATGCTGGGCTATGTTATGCTATGCTATGCAATGCTATGCTAATGCAGCGCTGCGCTATGCTAAGCTATGCTAAGCTAAGCTAAGCAAAGCTAAGCTTAAGCTAACCCTCTAGGCAGAGCCTAGGCAGGGAATTACACCCATGCTAATTACCCGAACAGAAAACTAAACTGGCAACGCGGTTGGCACACACGAGCGCCACAAACTACACCCACAGATCCGGGGCAGGAGGACCAGGAGCTGGATGACGGTGAGGATGACGAGGAGGAGCAGGATGACGATGAAATAAGCTAAGCTAAGGTGAGATAAGCAACGCTAAGCTAAGGGGACGTAACTGGGGGAACCTCAGGGCGGATACTGGGGGAACCGCCCGGGCCGGTTCCCACTGCCCGGCCCTTGAAGCCCAGAGAGTAAGAACCCTTCTAGGCAGAGCCTAGGTAGGGAATGTTGATAATCATATTCAGACGAAGGGTTCTTCTCATGAAGCGAAGAAGAATCACATTAGACAGCGGAAGACTAAGTCTACTCCAAATACCATTAGTATTAGTAATAATACGAGTCGTATTAATAATACAGGTACTAGTACTAATACGAACCTTACTGATAATAATGTACTAACAGTAGCAGTAAGACGGTTCTTACTATAACATATAGCATTACTAAAGCTATTCCGAGTAATATTCATAGAGAGACGAAGAAGACGACGCATTACTACTCCTCCTCCTCCTCCTCCTCCTCCTCCTCCTCCTCCTCCTCCTCCTCCTCCTCCTCCTTTCTCTCCTCCTTCTCCTCCTCCTCCTCCTCCTCCTCTCCCTCCTTTCTCCTCCTCCTCCTCCCCATCCTCCTCTCCTCCTCCTCCTCCTCCTCCCCCTCCTCCTCCTCCTCCTCCTCCTCCTCCTCCTCCTCCTCCCTCCTCCTCCTCCTCCTCCTCCTCTCCTCCTCCTCCTCCTCCTCCTCTCTCCTCCCCCTCCTCTCTCCTCCCCTTTGTGCGAGGCCGCCGAAGACTGCGGCCTCTGGGGGCCTCATCCCCGGGCCCCGGGGGCTGTCAGCAGACACCGGCTCGGGAGGGAGCGAGCCAGACCTCTCGAGGAGGCTCTGCATTTCGAGGCAGCGCTCGAGTGAAGTCGGGCCTGATCTTCTACAGGAGGGATGTTCAAAAATAGCTTGAAATAGTCCAGGGACCATTTTTTGATTCTTGTTGAGCATTTTTGGTGTAGTTTTTCATCCAAAATCTTCCTGTAGGGGGACATGCCCGACCTAATGCTCGAGGCAGTGGGGCGTCTGGGGGCGGTTGCGACAGCGGCTGCGACTCGCGGCGGCCCGCGGCGTCGGCGGCAGCGGCGGTTCCAAGAGGGGGCCGCGAGGGTCGAGGGGTGTAGAACTCTCGCGTTGTCAACAAGATTCGCGGCGGGAGGTTTTCTGACTATTTTCGGCCTCTGGGGGCCCTCGCCAGGCCTCGCGACCGTCAGAGAACGACTCAGGGTGAGGAACCGGTCCTGGAGAAGGGTTCCAGACCTCTGGGGGTCGACGTTGTGGAAAAGGCACAACGTCGGGGGTCTGGGGATGGGGTCCAGTGCGAGGTGCCTCAGAAGCAGCGTGAAAATCCACCCTCAGATGATCCCTTCCTGTCCCCAGGCCCGCATCCCTGGGGACCCCATCTTTGAACCACCGGCGACAGTGGCTGCAGCGGCTGCGGCGACCTCTGGAGGGCGCAGGCGGCTTTCGGAGGGCGCCATGTGTGCACCCACTTTCTATAAGCACGCTGATCCTGGCCCGGCCGATTCTCGGCCTGGGATCGGCGCGTGTGTGCGCGCGCGCAGCCAAGCCAGGAGGGCGCATGCATCGATTGTGGCAATTCGGTGCGTAAATGGCGCCCTCCTGACGATTGCGGCGGGACGGCGGCGGCCATGGCGACGGAAACAGTATCGGCTGCCACGACCGCGGCGACCCCGATGACGGCGGCGACGGCGATGGCGTTGGCGGCGGCGACGGATTTTTTTCGCGACTTCCGGTTTCAAGGGCAGTTTCTGGGCTCCGTGGCTGCCAAATAATGGCTCAAGGCGGGCTCAAGATGGCCCAAGGGAGGTTCCAGAAGGGCCAGCAAGGTAAAGCACGGTTGGCACCAAGAGGACCTCAACGAGGGCTTGAAGACTCCCCCATGAAGCCCAAGATGGCCCGAGGGAGGCTCCAGGAGGGCCAAGAACGGCAAGCGCCGATGGCACCAAGATGGTCCCAGTCAGGCCCTCAAGACACCCCTAAGAGGCCCCCGCAATGGGCCCCCGGAGGCTTCGCCAGGCGGGGGAAGTCTTCAGCGTGGGCTTTCCCCAACGAGGCGGGCTTGCCCTCCAGTCGGGACCGGGCGAGGACTCTGGCGCGCCAGTCTGCCCAAGGTAGCCCAAGGCGCGCCCAAGACGTCGGGCGACGACCAGGGAAGACGAGATCCGACCAGGCAGGACGAGACGAGACGAGACGGGATAAGGCCTGACCAGGCAGGCTGGCCAAGACAGCCTGAAAGTCGGCCCAAGATGGCGCCAAGGCGCCCCAAGCGGACCCCGAGAGGCCAAACCTTTCAAGAAGCTTTGTAGGAAGGCAGTGATTGTGGCCTTCTTGCCTTCACGCTCCTGGAGGGCGCCAGATGCCTCAAGATGGCTTCTAGAGGGCCCAGAGAGAGCCCCAGGACGGCCCCAGGATGGGCTCAAGACTGTCCCATAGATCCCCAAGATGGCCCCAAGCCAGTCAAAATCCAGAAAAGGCCAGCAGGTGGACGCATCCTTGGCGCCAAAGCGGCCCCAGCGGCCCAAAGATGCCCCCAAGAGGCCTTCCGACCTTCCAAAGGCCCCAGAAGCTTTCCAAGAGGCCTTCCAGAGGCCCCTGGGAGCCCTCCAAGAGGCCTTCCAGATCCCCCTGGGAGCTGCTCTTCACGAGGCCTTCCAGAGGCCCCCGAGGGCCCTAGGCCGTCCCGAGGCCTCCGAGCGGTCCCCTCGAGGCCCTCGAGCGCTTACGAGCGGCTTCCGGGAGGCTTCGTAAGGCGAGGGTGGAGGCCTTACCGCGTGGACTTCCCCCGGCAGGGCAGACCCCCCCCCCTGAAGTGCACCGGCGTAGCCGCCTCCTCGGGTGCTGCTTGAAGTGCTCCTGGCCCAAGGTGCCCCCGAGGAGGCCCCCACGGCCTCCAGAGCAGCCCTCACGAGACCCAGGAGGCCCAGGGGCTCTAAGTTCGAGCGAAAAGCTGCGGGTAATAACCTTCTGCCAGGGGCGTTCCACACGTGACGTGCGCCTCTGGCATCGCTATCGATGTAGATGGCGGTTGAGTATTGGCAGTGCTGATCTGGTGGCGGTATCGGCAATGACAGGGCAGTACCGCACTGGAGAACACGTTCCGCTCCAACCCGATATGTGCCTTATTTCAACGCGACCGCCCGAGCAGCCTAGAGCAGTGACCGCCGAGAGGGCCCGAAGAGGCAAGATGACCCCCAAGAGGGCCCGAGTTGCGAGGAGGCGAAATTGGCCTGACCACCGTGGGGCAGAGCATCTCAGGCAGCAAACTTCGAGGATGAACATTAACAAACATTTCGAGCTTTCTGCCCGTGGAGGCCCCCGAGAGGCCCCCAAGAGACCCCAAGGAGTCCCCAGCAGGCTCCCAGGAAGGCCCAGGAGGCCCCAAAGAGCCCCGTGAGACACTCCTGACGAGCCTCGACGCCGTCCCAAGAGGCCCCAGGAAATCCCCAAACTGCCCCTAGGAGGCTTCGCAGCCGCCCTCGGCCAGGACAGCTTCCAGACTCCAGACGGCCCAGGTCGCCTCCAGGAAGCGTCTCGAGGGCCCCCGGAGCGTTCGGAAACGGCCCGAGACGGTCTGCGCAAACCCTCTTCCTCCGGGGGGCCTCTTGGGGGCCTCTTGGGGCCATCTTAGGGCCATCTTGGGACCTCTTGGGGCCTCCTGGGCGCTTCTGGTGGCCATCTTGGAGGAGATCGATCAAACAAGAGGGAAGCTTGAATCAGGGCCCCCCCCTCAGGAAGCCCAAATGGGGCCAAAACGCTAGTAGAATCAATGATTTTGGCTTCCTCGCCGAGGCCGTTTTGGACGCTCCGACGACTCGCGAAACCCCCTGTCCAGGTCCATGGGGAGGGGGTAGGGGGAGGGGTCAAGACGCCCTCCCTGCCCACAAGCCGTCTCGCTCACTCCCACCCGCCCTCCCAACACATACGTAGCACCCGAGCCTGGCCCGAGCCGCAGCATATGCAGCAGTCGTCTTTGGATGGGCAGCTACTGGGGGCCAATCCGCCGCCGCCGCCGCCGCCTCCGCCGCCGCCGCCGCCGCCCGCCGCCGCTGCCGGCGCCGCGCCGCCGCCGCCGCTCCGCCGCCGCCGCCACCACCGCGCCGCCTGCCGCCGCCGCCGCAGCCGCCGCCGCCGCCGCACCCGCTGCCAAATCGCCGCCGCCGCAGCCGCCGCCGCCGCAGTCGCTGCAGGCACCGCTGCCGCCGCCGCCGCGCCGCCGCCGCCGCCCCCGCCGCCGACGCCGCCCCCGCCGCCGCCACCCCCGCAGCCGCCGCAGCCGCTGCCCCCGCCGCAGCCGCCGCAGCCGCCGCCGCCGCCAAGTGTACTCTGTATTGTTTGTTGACAGGGATGGTGGGGGGAGGCCGCATCGGGTTCGCTGCGCATGCTCAGAATTTGGAGACAGAGTGTGTGTTGTATAGTTTGTTACAAGGGATGGTGGGTGCAGAGTGTGTTTTTGTATTGTTTTGTTACAAGGGATGGTGGGGGGTCCGCATGGACCTGGGTTGGCTCCCAGTCGCCTGGGGGAGGGGGTGTATATTAATAGGGAACAGTTATAAACCCCTCCCCGAAGGGGAAGAAGGAGGGGTGGAAGAGGAAACTCTCTAAACCACCGACGCCCAGAGGATTGGTGGGATTTTGCAGTGTATGTGCCGTTTCGGGCGCTTTCTGGCCGCGCCGCTCGGGGAACGATGTGCGACAATATGGGCGTACTTGATGTTCGGGTCGGACGCGCGCCTCCAATCATTACGTTTAGTACTGGTATGTCTCTGTGCGTCCCATGAAATGCCGGCGTCCACGTGGACGCGACAGGAGCCAGGCGCGTATTTTTGTGGCCCCCCGAGGCCCGGCGGCGAGCCACATCTCCGCGGACGAGTGGGCCCGCCTCGAGGACCCCTTGGGAGGGACCTCGGGGCTGCGGGCGCGGCGGGGCGCAGTCTCCCGCCGGGCCCCTCCTGGTCGTCGACACCGTCGGTGTCGTCGTTGTCGTCGTCGCCTTCGGAGGAGGAGGAGGAGGAGGAGGAAAGCGGGGGAGGAGGAACATATTGGTGATGATGGGTAAGGGGACGACGAGGAGGGGGTGAGTGATAGTAGTAGTAGTAGTAGTAGTAGTAGTAGTGGTAGTAATAGTAGTGGTAGTAGTAGTAGTAGTAGTAGTAGTAGTAGTAGTAGTAGTAGTAGTAGTAGTAGTAGTAGTAGAAGTAGTAGTAATAGTAGGAGGAGGAGGAGGAGGAAGAGGAGGAGGAGGAGACGCAGGAGTAGGACAACCATAGTGGACATGTGATGCGTCAGCGATGTAATGCACTCTCGTGTCCCAAGTCCTGCGCCCTGCTTCGTACATCCCCGCGGGACTCCTCCTAAAAGTGGGCAACGCCCGCTTTAAATTCGAATGCCCCACGGGCCTGCTATTCCGTCGAGAGTCCCGTCTTGGAAAAGGGGCTGTCCTGATGAACGCTGTACGACTTGCAAGTGGAAATGATGGTCTGGCGATGGCACCTTTCTGAGAAGGAGCCATCTTCCATCCGTGTGGTTATTGCACATGATTATCGTTGGGTCGTCCGATCCGAAGAAGCTTCGAACGATAGCCCCATTTACGAAAAGGAACC